ATTTTATTAAAAAATTTAAATGTTAAAAAAATTAGTAAAAATCTTTGCAGGCAAATTTGCCTGCATTACAATTTAAGAAATACAATTTTTATATTATTAAAATAAAATTTTAAAAGCATGCATATTTTTAAAAATTCATTTGGCAGTAGATTTGCAACTCATATCCAAGTATGGATTTGCTATTAGGGTTTGTATACAATATATTACATAGCTTTATTTCAACCATTATACTTTTTCATTAATAACTCCTGCTATGCTGCTGAATCAAGTCTTATGTTTTATAGTTGTGTAGATATAATTTTAATTTAGAAATAAATTGTAAATTTAATTGCGAAAAAAGCTAGAATATATTTGTAAATTTCAATAAAAGACTAATAACCGCAACTACAGCTAACACTATTCGAAACAATATTTAAGGTTTTCAATTGAGACATAAGTGCTAATATCTCAATAACGTACTAAGTAAACAGGATCCAAAAACTTCATGAAAACTGAGATTGGGGCCTTATATTCAAAAGATATTATATTACTGTATATAAAAAAACTCCTATTTATCTCAGAGCTGTACTCTAACCCTAAGTTTTAATAGGAGTGGTTATTTATAACCAGTGGTGTAAATAATAATAATTCTTTAAATATATTACTAGGAACGTTAGTGTATTGTTTTACTGGCATCTAAAATGAAAGCAAAATATTAAAGCTGATTGGCGTACATTTTTTCTCATGATCATTACGATTTTTATGTAATATAAAATTTCTAATTTTAGAGGAGGTTAAAGTGGAATGAAATTTAGTTAGGGTCAGGGTTATCTTCTCGATGCAGTTAGAAGGTTTATATATTTATATTAATATTAATATATCAAGAATGTGGTTTATGCAGCATGTAGATTGCGTATTAGTATTAGTATTAATTAACTCCTACTCTAACCGCCCCAACTCAACAATTTCATGTTTAAAACTTATCGTAAATTTGCCATAAGATGATAAATATCACAAAAATTTGTTCTTTCTTAGTAAATGATTGGCTTACATGTACCGCGCAGCAGCACATGTAAGCCAATAATTTACGTTAATGGAATGATATTCTGATGTCATTTGCAATGACTTCATTATTACGATCAATGGCTTGCTATTTAAAGAGGTCGTCTAAAGCCAAGTACGTATATAGTTTTAAAATTGATTACCAAATTTGTAAATTAAAAATCACATGATGCATATAAATTACTAAACTACCCAACGGCACCTGAAAAATTTTGAGAAACGTGACCACAAGCCAATCACAGATGAAGATCAGGTGTAACGTAACACTAACATAACATGACCAGGAAAATTAAAAACAAACGTTCTTTTTGCTAAAAATTGCCCATAACTCAAAAATCTGCATACTAAACTATCTTTAATAAAAAGTTTTTTCTTGAATGATTTTAATATATATCTTGATAATGATAAATACCAATATAAACATTAAACCTAATATTAATAAGCTTTTAAGACTTTAATTATCGTAAAATTTTTCGGGGTGCCGTTGGGGTAGTTTGAAACGACAACTACCAGGATACACGTGTTTCAATACGTACGTACTATCAATTATTCATCGGAGGTTAAGTTTTAATTTTTTACCTTCAGGTTTGCTTAAATTATTATCGTTATCGTTAAAAATATATAAACATATAATATAATCAAATATAGTATAGCTCATCTCAATGTCATGTGCTACGTAATCACAAACTATTTAATAGTTATATAGTATTTATAGTTTTGGAGGCACATGATTGTATAAGATTGTATTCGAAAGCACAAAAGTTTAAAATAAAATAAAATGGGTTCCAAAATTTAACGTTATTGTTTCGGTTTCGTAATAATTATCATTTAGTAATGCTTAAATTACAATTATTGCACGTATATCGATATCGATTAACTATATTTAGTTATACTGATTTGAGAGTTGCAAAATTAATTTACCTTATATTCTTTTTTAATTTCATTTTTGATTTATTAATAAAAACCTATATTTTTTTACGAACTTGTATATTTATAGTTAAAGAATTATAAATCCGAAGATATTCGGATCAACTACTTACATATCTTTGCATGACATTTTCAAAGGGTCCTCACATAAATGGCATTCAAATCTGTACAAATACGTCTACATGCGGTATATTTTTATTTAGATAATCTAATAATAATTATGTAGTTTTATATCACTTTTAAAAAATTTTTTTTTATTCTATGTGTCCCTTATTGGTTGATATCTAAATCAGATTCATATTATATACTAACCAATTCTGTTACCATTTTTTTCTATATATTTAATTCGATTTTAACTGTTATTATATATTTAATTTTTTTAGACCGTTTAAAATTTTCTTTTTTTTTCAATATGAAAAGCTTTAGATTATAAATTAAAAAAAAAAAAAAAAAATTTAAATATATAAATAGAAAAAAAATATTTAATTTTTTGATAGAATAATTATTGATTTTTATCTTTTATTTTATGTTAAAAAAAACTATGGGTATAAAATGTAGTAAACCAGAACATCTTGATGATGATCTGAAAGATCCACAACCACAGGTATCAGACCTTGGTATTTGTAGAGATTGTCAAAATCCGAATACTGATATTTATAAAACATTTGGATGGTGTCAATTATGTGATTCTAAAAGATTTAAAAATGAGTTTACAAAATGGACAAGTTGTAATGAAGCTGTTGATAACTTTATTCGAGAAACTCAATTAAATGCTAATAGTTACCGTAAAGTTTTGGAATGGATTCCATATGATGCAATTGTTGATGTTGAATATATTGGAAAAGGCTGTTATGGAACTGTATTTTCTGCAACTTGGGTAAATGGAAACATTTTGTATTGGGATAAAAGAAGGAAAAGGTGGGCTAGAAATTCTCGTATGACTGTAACTGTAAAAAACATCGATAATTCAGCTAATATTACGTCGGAATTCTTTCACGAGGTATGCACATACTGTATATTTTTATATTCATATCCTATATTCATATTCTATTGTATATTCATATTCTGTATTTAAATATTGTATTTATTTATTTATTTATTTTGTTTAGATACGTGCTTACCTTCAATGTAACTATGATCCTCGAGGAATGATTCGATATTATGGTATTACTCGAGATCCTCAAACAAATGACTATATGGTCGTCAGTGAATTTGCAAATGGAAATTTACAAACTTATCTTAGACGTAATTATCATTTACTAAATTGGGAAAAGCGCTTAGACCTTTTACTTAAAATTGCAACGGCTCTTCAAGATATTCATTCAACAGAATTCGTTCATAGAAATTTACATAGTGGTAACATATTACAAGTTGGTAACGGTATTAAAATTAGTGACCTTGGATTAAGTCATTATGTAAAGTATAATTATGGTATTTATGGTGTCTTACCGTATGTTGCTCCTGAAATTTTACATGGTGGACCACACACTAAGGCTTCAGATGTATACAGTTTAGCAATAGTGATGTGTGAGGTTGCCACAGGAATTCCCCCATTTAGTAATAGGCCTCACAATTATGACCTTGCTATTGGTATATGTGATGGAATTCGTCCTCCTTTTATTGAAGGAACTCCAAAATCTTTTACAACTCTCGTTGAAAGATGTTGGGATTCTGATCCAATGAATCGCCCCAGTGCTAAACATATAACTGAAATGTTATTTCGTTGGCACTTTAGTTTGGAACAAGGGAGATCGACGGATGTATGCGATTCTTTTCGTAATTATGACATTAATGTGAATCCACGGCAGCAACATCTTGATAGATTAAATTGGAGATTTCATCCACAAGCATGTTATACGAGTAGGCTGCTTAATTTTGTTAATCTTCCTGAACCTACGAATTTCTTTACTCGATATCGGTATGATTCTGCATTTGGAAGTGTTACCCGAGGTAATTATTATTATTATTATTATTACTATTATTAAAAAAAAACGGTCCTACCTATTTTTAACAATTTTTTTTTATACACTCTATAGAAAGTCTCAATAAAACAAATTCTTATATTGACGAAAAATTCGAGGGTAGATGAAATTCTAATTTATTGATGTATGTTAATCGGTCCTAGGCAGTCTTTGAGAATTGCCCGATATTTCAAGATTTTTTTCATAAGCTACTAATATAAATAATTTGTAATGATTCATTTACAAGATTTACTTAATGGAAGACATGGTAATCTTTTTATTTCAATTCAATGACTTAGACAGTGACGTACATTGGATGATTACTATTAAAGTGCCTATTCCATTCAAATACCCATAATTCCCCTTATTTCCATTAAGAAAATCTTTCGACATTAAATTGAATTACTATGTTAGTAGCTTATAAATAAAAAAAGTCTTCAAGACCAATTAGGTCCGATTAACATTCTTTCATGATATTCATTGCTTTAATAACCCTTTTTAAATTATTCTTAAAAAGACACACATAGCCCTTCAAGCCCTTCAAGTTCTCAAGTTGATCTTGAACAATTAAGAACTCCCTCAATGGCACTATCAGATCCTATATATACATCACTCCTGCGTAAACACTTTCGAGCAGATAAAATATTTTTTAGTGAATCAGAAATCAGTTCAGGTTTGTATATTCATTATGATTCACTATATTTTTCATGTGGTAATTCATATTTTTCGTGTAAATAATTAATGTTTCGTGTAATTAATTCGAAATTCATTTTCCTGTGGTTAACACCTAATTCATATTTTTTAATGCAAATTAACCCGAAATTTATGTTTTATGCAATTATTTAATTAATGCAAAATTTATATTTTTTGTCATGTAATTAACATAAAATTTTATATTTTTCGTGTAATTAACACACAAAACTGACAATATTATAGACAATGAAAGTTCTTATTCACAAGAAATTTCAGACGTAGCGTCAACGAGGTACTCCAGAGCAATATCCACCGAACTAGAACGTCGAGCAACACCTGAAGTAGGAGGTAAAACATCACGATACTCGTTAGCATTAGTGGCTGAACTTCAACGATGTACTACGTCAGAAAGTTGGGACAGGCAACAGCGGAAAGGAAAAAGTTATACAAGGAATATGTCATCGAATAATAAAAGACAGAATAATCTTAGAAAAAATATGTATCATAGATATGATCATAATGTATCTGATAAAGCACGAAAAGAAATGGTACAAACTTATTATTCTTCACGTAAACATTCAACGAAATCACCATCATCACAACTTTCGGATCAACAAGGTGATTATGACGCATATCAGGATTCTGAAAAAGAGAATGAAGAAAGTAAAAAAAGTGTGGAAGAAATTAAAAATATAGTAGATCTGGAAAATATAGATGTGTTACAATTTGTTAGAAGACAACCTACTGTTCAACGAGGTATTTTTTTTTCTTTTTGGAAACGTATACAGTATTTTTTTTTTAAAAAAAAAATTTGAATTTGATATCTAAATTTAGATCTAATTTTTTTTTAGCAGCAAGAAGAGAAAAAGCCACATCTATATTCGTAACAAAATTTGATCATAAAACAACCTCTGCAGAATCAACGCCAATTCCACCGATTCGTGTATAAATTATTAAAATGGAATGGTTAGATTATTGAAAGTAGATATTGTTAAGTGTTAAAAATTGATGTGTTACTACAAGAACTATTCAAAATATAATTGTCTTTAATAATTTTATGTAAATAAGCAAAAAATTAAGGGTTTCATAATTTACTTTATAATTAATAAAAATAAATTTTCAGGCAAGGGACATTTCTCTTTAGTTGCCGCTCTTATTGATAAAATGAGTTGCTACACCCAAATTTTTATATGTAAATTTGTAAAAAAAAAAAAACAAAAAAAACACTTTAATTTACTTAAAAACTTATATATAAATATAACTTTAAACTTTAAATATATATTCTTTAGCATTTTGTAATTTTTTGATATAAATTGCAAGACTAAACACCAAGTAGGTTTACTCCTAACCCCGGAACTATCTTATAAATATGTATTTAAATAATAGGATCTATGACCATTTCAGTATGAATTCTAATCAAATATTATTCACATCATCGTAGTAGTCTGTCGTAGTGCTAGAAGATACAAGTATTTATAATGTATAAGGCCATACAAAAAAAAAAATTTTAGGTTTCATAACATCAAATAAAATTATGATTGGGGTTTTTATATATATATATAATATATAATAGGATCTCTTGCAATATAAGTTATACCTATTCTAAATCAATTGATTAATAATACTTTTTATTAATAGTCTCATCTATACTGCAAGAGATCCATATAATATATAGAAGTTTGCTATTTACCACCACTGGTGATCATCACCGATGTTGCTATATCTCAAAAATGTACTAAGTAAACGGGATTGGGTACTCTAAGTAAAAATGTTCACGAAAACTAAAATCGGGACCTTATATCTAATCTTCATTATATTATATAAAAAAAAAATAATTATAATTATTACAGTATTATAAGGGTTAAAGCTTGTTTAAGATTATTAGAAATAAAATAATTAGTTAATAAAGTAAATTATAAATGTGTTTGTTATTTATTTTATTTAACATAGTTATAGAAACTCTTTCTAACAATTACTTGGACTAACAGAAAACCCAAAATTTTGCTTAGACAAAAATTGTATATAAGCAGAAAAAAGGCCAAATATCTATAATTTGGCACTTATTATTTAGAAATAGTTCTCATATGCTATTTGCTAATAGGTTTAGAGTTTATTACTTATTGCTAGAGTGGCACTTGTCATCTAGAAGTAGTTTTTATGCACTACTTGCCAACAAGCTCAGAGTTTATTATTTACTATTGCAAAAGCTATTAGTACTTTATATTTATTTGGCTCTCTCTAAGCTGAAAAACTAACACTTTTTAAAGGCACTTTTCAAAATTTTCAACAAAAAGTAGGAATTGGGCTTATCTCTTTAAAAGATTAGTATTGTTTATTTTTCAAATTCAGATACTGTATACTTAGTAGTTTGCAACTATATATTTTTATTGAGAAATTTTTAAATAGGGTAGGTGTCAATTACTTGCTACAGGGTCGATTACTATTGATTAAAAAAACAGTAATAATCAATAATAGTTGTTAATTGCTTGCAATACTATCAAATTGTAATTTTGATATAGTTGTTAATTGATATATAATGTTTGCATTTAATTATAATTGATTAGATAATTATCGATTATATACAGTATTTATGGCCTTGCTATATTTGCTTTACCAATCAAATTTTTTGCAAAAAATATTCAAAAAGATTTACAAAATTGAAAGTATTGTATATAATCTACTACTCTTAACTGAACTAAGCCAATTTAATCTGTTTTAATTATGCAAGAACATTTTTAATTACCAAAAATATATTAGCACTAAAAATTAAATATATACTAGATGTTGCTGTATAGTGAATAAATTTTGTAATGGAATATTTATATAGTAAATTATCAAAACAATTCCAATTCAAGCCAACCCAACTTTGACTATATACTGGGTGTTATCATAATAGCAAGTAGATTTTTTAATAGATTTTTTATAGTAATTTATGACAGAAATCAGTTAATTTTGATCTAAACTATCTTTTCTTTAATAGCAATTAAGTTCTATAACAGAATTTTTTAGTAAATTACAATAATTTCAATTTAATTTATTTAAATGGTAAGTAGGTTTTGTAATAAAATTTCTATAGTAAATTACAATAATAATTACAACAATACTAACTCATACTTAACTACATATTGGGCATTAGTAATAGCAAATAGATTCAGTAACAAAATTTTTATAGTAATTCACAATAGAAATCATAATAATTTCGATCCAAACTAGCTTAACCATATACTGGATATTACTACAATAACAAATAAGGTCTGTAGTGAAATCTTTACAGTAATTTATAATAGAAATTACAATAATTTCAATCAAAACTAACTCAACTTTAACTATATACAAAATTATAATAATAAGTATTTAATTATTATAGAAACGATAATTCTAATTCAAACTAACTTATCTTTAGAATTTTTTAGTAAACTATAACAATTCTAATTCAAACCAACTTAACTTTGATTAATTGCTGAATATTACTAAAATAACAAGTAAGTAACAAAATTTTTTATAGTAAATCATATAGAAATAATAACAATTTAAAACCAATTTAGCCTTGTTCATATAATAGCTAATACTACAAAAGTGAATAGGTTCTGTATTGACAGTTTTACAGTAAATCATAATAAAAATTACAATAATTTCAAACCAACTTATCTTTAACCACATACTAGGTATAATTATAATAGTGAGTAGGTTTTGTAACAAAACTTTTCAGTAAATCACAATAACTCTAATTTAAAATAATTTAACCTTGATTATTTACTAGATGTTATTACTATGTTGAGTAGGTTCTGTAATAGAATTTTCTTATAAAAATTATAACCATCCCAATTCAAACTAATCTATATTTAACCATATACTAGATATCACCATAATAGCTAGTATATTCAAAATTATAAAAATTTTAATCCAAATTAACTCAACTGTATACTAGATATCATTACAATAGTGAGTAGATTCCTACAGCAGATTATGACAGAATTATGATAATTTCAATTCAACCAAATATATTTTTAACTACATATGGCAGGTTCTGCAACAGAATTTTTCAGTAAAGCATAATAATTCTAATTCAAACCAAGTCAATCTTGACTACTTGCTAGGTGTTACTGCAATAATGAGTAGGTTTTGTAATAGGATTTTTTATAGTAATTATAATAGAAATTATGACAATTCCAATTTAAACAAACTCAATCTTGACCACATACTAGCTAACAACACAAAAATAGTAACAGTAAATCATGATAGAAATTACAATAATCCTAATTAAGCCAACTCATTTTTAACCATTATCATAATAGCAAGTAGGTTCTATAACAAAAATTTTCATAAAATAATTCAATTCTGATCATTTGTTGGGTGTTACTAGAATCCCGAAGAACTTTAATACAACTCATATGTTATCAAAAAAGGAAATTTTGTATAGAAAATCATCAAATATTGCTTTTTATATAGTAAATTTTTAAATTTTGCTCTATTTTATATATCTATTTGGCCAAATTTATATAAACTTTATACAAACTTAGATCTAAGTTGTATTAAAGTTTTTCAGGGTTCTGTGTTACTGCTACAATAAGTATGTTTTGTAATAGAATTTTTTCAGTAAATTATAATAAAAAGCCACAACAATTCTAATTCAAACTAACTTATACTTAACTATATGGGGCATCTATATTTAATATTAAATGATGTTTGTAGTACTAGATGCATTCTGATACAATATAAGCATATTGCTATACCTAATATAAAGCAAGGTTGGTAAAGCCACAATTTTCGAAAAAACTGTTGGTTACAAACTAATAAATATACAAACATGTACTCATTATGTGCTAATTCTGTAAAAGTACTTTTTTTTATAAACTTTTATTTATATTTTTTTTTACTATAATAATAGAATAGTTCTAGTAACTAATAAAACTATACTTTAACTTAATTTACATATTTCTATTTCTCCACCTACAAATACCTAGTGATTCAAGTGATTGATTGGTTACATGTTTGTGTAGATGTGTGTTATTTTTACATTTATATATGGATCTGGTGCTTTTAATATTTAAGAGTTAAAGTATTTTCATATTTATATATAGATCTGGTACTTTTAGTATTTAAGAGTTAAGGTATTTTCACTTTTATTTATGAATCCGGTGCTTTTAGTATTTAAGAGTTAAGGTATTTTCACATTTATATATAGATCTGATACTTTTAGTATTTATAAGTTAAGGTATTTTCACTTTTATTTATGAATCTGGTGCTTTTAATATTTAAAAGTTAAGGTATTTTTCACATTTATTTATGAATTTGGTGCTTTTAGTATTTAAGAGTTAAAGTATTTTTCATATTTATTTATAAATCTGGTACTTTTAGTATTTAAGAGTTAAAGATCTGGTGTTTTAGATTTTACTTTGTAGTTTTTGGCATCATCATTTGGATGCTCTTATAAATGTAGATTTCATCGTTTGGGTAGTTCATCTGCATTGTCGCTTTACTAGAGCCTTAGAGTTATTTCTGGCATTACTGTTGATATAAATCTCATTACTTGGAGTGGTTTCGTGCAGCCACTTTACTGAAATCTTCTGTTGCTCTAGGTTTCATTGTTTCTGGTATTCTTGTGGCTATAGATTTTGCTACTTGTAGTTGGCTCAGTATCATTGTGAAGTTTGCCACTTGTAGGTTACTGTAAGTGTGGATTTCATTGTTTGTGCTATTGTCAACTTAGTTATTGTTTAGCAGATGCACTTTGCAAGAACTTTATACTAGCTAAACTAGTTTTTGCTTATTAATTAGTTGCTTGAGTTTTGAGTTTTACTAGGATTAGGGAGAATTCAAATAGAATAAACTTGGAATTGAATATAAAGAATAAAATAGTTAAGGCAAAAGAATAATGATTCGAAAAATATTATAGATAAGTATTTATTTTTTTTTATGTATAAAAATTTTGTTGTTTCAATTACAGGC